TTTTTTGCCACATGAAGTCACTTTTCAACTATCGCTTTTGTGCTTACACTCATTTGGTTTCTTTCTGTTTTCCTTCCTTTGATAAAGCGTGCGAAGATATACTGCAGTCATATAATTAGAGTGGTTTTTTTTAAAGTCTTTAAAGTCATAAAAGTTGCAAACCAAATCATTCGATTGGCAAATAATAATTTTTAAGAAATAACCATACTGTATTATCAGATGCTGCTCGAAACAAAATACGAATTCAACATATAGAATGAAATCCGTTGGAGAAATTTGCTTTGCCAACTATCTATTTTTGATCATTGACAGTCCAATAGCTCCCTTCAGCGCTACGATATACAACTGAAAATTTAAAGTATAGGTTCTCTACTAAAATTCCAACAAATTTTTAAAATTCTTCCCAATGAACTTCCTTGAGCTGAGAACAACTTGTAAAGAGGAGAGTTCAGTATCCTTTTTTTACCATCAACAAGAATGAAAAATTATTTGAAACTAACAGCGATACGATGAAAATGCCGTGTAAATATGGCAGAACTTAAGAAAATTCTAAAAGTAACAGGTACACAAAAGCGATAGTTGAAAAGTGACTTCATGTGGCAAAAAAGTGACAAGAAAACTACGAAAATAACTCTCAATAAGCATTGCTCGTACTAAAACCAATACTGTGTTCTCCTAGTTGTCGAAAAAATATATCGTTTAAATTTCTAACAATGTTGAAAAATTAAACTTTTCTTTCCTTTTCTTTTTTGAAAGGAAAGTGAGGAAAGCAGTTAAGTTTCCTTTCCTTTCCTTTCGTTTCCGAAAGCAAAAAGAAAGTGAAAGTGCCGCCGCTCATCTCGATGTTATAAAGACGGCTCAATGTTATTTGTAGCTATGCTGTGGAGATTCATGGAAAATTTTTTCCAGTTCATGGAAACGCTACTAGTCATTCTTTAAATATTTAACTTCATCATTTATTATCGCCTAATGACTTTGGCATGCTCGTTCAATCAGAAAAAGTCCTTTCGGCAATAAGTATAGAGATCACAAGGAATTCTTTTTCTATGACTATCAATTTTTCTCTCACTACTCTTTGAATTAGAGTGACACCCGTTTATTTCAAATCCATACCCAATCAATCAGAACAAAAGAAAAAAATAATACATTGAAACAAAAGACGCATACCATATATATCCTTTAAAGTATCCCGTCCCCCTCACGAATGGTGGCATACGGATGACGTTTTCTTCATCAAGAGGAATGAATGGAGTAAGAAAAGGCAAAGAGAAAAAAAAAGAAGCAAGAAATGCAATACATGTCATAAGAACAGGCAAAATAGAACAATATATTTGAACACAAAAGAAAGTTATTAACTAACTAAAGATATATCATGACCATTGGCCATGACACTGATAAAACATAAAATCTCTGGTAAATATGGTATATTTGATATGTTTATAAAAATCGACAATAGACAAAGAAAATAAACTTAAGTGGAGAAGACTCCGCTATTATCATTATTATCATACAACATGCGTAGGACAATTCATAGTAGGGAATATTTCACTACTTGGTTTAAGTTGTCATCAGAAACATACAGGTTTAAATCTGAGTCAAATGCAATGCCGGTCGGACTCCCGAATGTAGGTGTACTGCTCGTACCGGTTCCAACTACCACTTGACCAATTGTTGAATTGGCACAAAACATTATCACTCGTTTTTGATTCGTATCGGCAACGTACAAATTTCCATATGAGTCCAACATCATTTGTGATGGATGATCCATTTGGAGAGAGTTGGCCGTACTGTATGTTGTGATTGGGTTTGCTGCTTCGAATGCCCATAGGTAAGCAAGACGCTGGGTGTTATCACCAAAATATACTTCATTCAAAGAAGCACTTGTTAGTACGAGACCGTATGGAGCGTTAAACTGATTCTGAGCCGCACCACCAGTGCCGGCGTTAATTAAAACAGTGCCATTCGTTGCATTGGCAGCCCACTTCACCACACGCTTATTAGCTAAGTCAGTAATGAATAGATTGAAATTGTCATCGATCTTCACATCAGCTGGTTGGTGAAGTAGACTATTTGTGCTACCACCACCTCCTGCTATCCCAGCAACAGTCGTGCCGCTGGTTGAACTGTTTGAATTAGGTGGAAAGCGTTGCACACGATTATTGCCATAGTCAGCTATATACATGTATCCATTCGCATCAAAATCAATACCTATTGGATTTTGAAGCAAAGTCGCACTGTTGCCATTACTACCACTGATGCTGCCTGCCACGGTGGTACCAGTTGAAGCTCCTTTCGTCCACTTTTGAACGCGATTATTGTTGGAATCGCATACATACAAGGTATAGTTTGCATCGACATATATAAACCCAGGCGCATGAAGTTGATTTGCATTTGCTCCATTGCTATTAGTTCCAGCCACTGTTACGCCTGTGAGATTCCATTTTAGACTTGTACCTGAGTTAGTATCGCACATTATGAAAATATATCGCTCCTATCATCGAATTTACAAGTCTTTTCGAATCAGTCCGACAGACGTGCTAGGGAAGAGGAGTGAGTACATGAGTCAACCTAACTTAAGATTTTATGTCATCGATTCTGTCATTTAAATCCTGCCCCGTGTTCTCATGATATAGGTCAAGTCAAGTTTAAAGGTTTTTTTGGATAGCCTATCTAAGATTTGTACGACTTTCAGTGAACTTTGAAGAAATCATTCATGTTTGTGTAAAATCCTTTTTTTTCATCAAAACCATGTCTGAAGAAAAGAAAAATAATTCTAATTTCTAATCCTTCTGCCATCCCAGGTCAATACTGCTCGGCCGTAGACGGCCGTTCACTAACCGAATACGGCGAATTACAACGACTGTCTACGGTAGCTGTTTACGGCGGCTGTACACGATCCTTTACAGTATGTTACGTCAATCGTACTCGCTACTCGTAAAATAACAGAAGGAGTCGTATACGTCGTCTGTTTCCGAATGCCATATACAGCAGTCGTACTGATTCCATTACGGCATTCCACAGCCACTGCAAACCTCAGCCGCATACTGTCGTTGTAAACGATCACCGCGGCAACGCGACCAATGTATACGCCACTACTATAAAACCTCGCAATACGTCTCTATTAAACGACCAATCAAAGCTTGCATTGCTGTACCTCCATGAGAACATAGGAGAGGACTCATACATATACCCAGTGTTTCCAATGGATCGATGACTCAGAGTGTACAAACAAAATATTTTCTTTGTTTCGCAAAGTGTACAAAATTTACAGACAAAGCATATACACCTGGTATTGGAAACACTGCATATACCCATCAATCGATAGAGAGTCCTCGATAACCCTAGGGTGGGCCCGAACATTCGTGTATGTTGTGTTTATGGTAAGAGAGAGAAGTCCTGCGGAAATCTGTTTTGTCCGTATAATTGGTCAATGAACGGAGGAGTTTCAATTTCTCAATTGTGGGATGGGCTGAAATCCTATCGCTGTACCCACGAATTGATAGAGCGTCCTCGAAAACCGTAGGATTTGCGCGAACATGCCTATATATTATGATTATAGTATTTGAGAAAGATTGTCCTGATCATATACGGGAAATACGCCCTATATGGCGAGTCGCGGTCGTATACGATTACCGTATAGGACGATTTACGATCGTATACGGTTACCTTATTACGCCATAAACGGCACGGCAAAATCCGGCCGTAACGCTCGTTCTGGGCATAGAACTTATTTTAATAGTTTTTCCATCGCCATAGACAAGTTTGCTTTAAGAGCTGACGTATTCCCATTCATTCTACAAAAACAGCATAGAAATATAGATTTTGGAAAGTTCTACACATTCCTCTGTTAATGTGCGTGAGCTTAGAGATATCAAATAATTCAAGATTTTTGCATTAAAGATAGAGAGAGACTTGCTTCAGAGCCTTTGTATGAGTCTCCTATGATCCCAAAGATTTGATTTGGTAATTTACAACTGACAAGAAAACTCACATGAATTGAAAACGGTTGTAGTCGTTGTTGCTAAATATAAAAAAGCATGAATTAAACATTGTATGGCTTCATGAGAATACTTGAAGAGGTGGTCGTAGACGTTGTTGTTGATGTGGTTGATGTGGTGGATGTAGACGATGTGGTCGATGTAGTCGTTGTAGTCGATGTAGTCGATGTAGTCGACGTAGACGGTGTGGTCGATGTAGTCGATGTAGTCGATGTGGTGGATGTAGTCGATGTGGTAGAAGTGGTCGACGTCGTAGAAGAGCTAATTCAATTATTCTTTTCTCATATTCAATTTGTTCACTATATTTAATACTTCTATTCACGATATGCATTATATTTGAATATTCTATCGTTGTTGATATTGTTGCTAAAATGAATAATTAAATTTGCAAAATTTATTAAGAATAGGAATATAGTAATTGTTGCCACGAAAGCATGACAAACTGTCTGTACTAAAACCTAGTAAAATACCATAATAAATAATGCAAAGAACACTGAAGTTTTACATTTTTTCAATCTGTATTTTGACTGAAGCTCAGCCGAATAGTAATCCCCTTTTATCTTTCTTCTGAAGTCGTTATGGTTCACAACGAATTCTCTTTGTTTTATCTGAAGATCCTACTATTGAGATGAGAGACCAAAGTTGAACCTTAAAATCCTAGTTCGATATGGACTGTGGTGGGAAGTATATGATCGCTTCTAAACTTGACTTCAGACGAAAAAATATTGTACTTCTCCAACTGTCTCTGATAGTGCTCTGTACAGGTCATTGAACACGAAAATATACTCGCAAGAAGGACATTTTGCCTGCCATTACAGTTTTGCAAGTCAATGAATATAAGAGAGTATTCTTGAAAAAGTATCCTGATGATAATCATTGAAATACTTTAATAGATAAAGAAACATTAGACATCCGACATATGGTTCTGAACTCCACAGGCAGGTAAGAATTTTACCAAGAGTAGCATGAGAAATGAAAATCTTTGAAACAGTTTGAATTCTTGGCTCAGAACTTGATCGTTATTTTGTAAAGATAAAGTTTCATTTCAAAACTGTCATGACCCTTTACGACACTTGGACCAAATTAGCAATTGAATTCAAAAAAGCAAATTATCAATGTCATTGTTGTATATCTCTTGATCTTCAGGAAACTTAGGATACTAGACCAGGCAGAATGAGTGAGTCTGAGATATGAAACAAGACACTTTTACTATCTCATCGGTCTTTATCTATTACATATATAGTGCTTTAACTGTTGTGTTAACTGAGATATATGCAAATAATCGAACTGATCAGCTCAGATAGGAAGACAACACGATTATGGAAGTAAGAATTTTCTGTTCTCGAATTATACTTCTGCATTTTGCCTTTTTGCACTTAAATATACATATCGAATGCTGAGATTTTCACAGGTTTTTATGGACCTCATATAGAAACAAAGACACTAGAAATATATGAAATAAATGCAAAAACCTAGGATTTAAATCCGAGAGTTATCTGTACTTCAAAAAGTGAATGTGACAGATGAGTCATTCTAGAATGTGCGGACATCAACATTATCATGGCAAACCTTTTGTATAAAATACTTGATTTCTATTGGTCACTCTCAACCAATCGGATTTGGGGATGAATACAGCTCAAATGTGTGCTCTTCGCCTTGATTTACCCTAAAAAAATCATTTTTCTTATAACTTGATTTCTATTGGTGCCTGCTCAATCAATGGTATTTCAAGGCAAATGGATGACAGATTCGAGTTCTCCGCCTCCTATACTTCGAAGTATTATGTTCGTGATCGGAAAGTAGAGTTCCATTTTCGAATCAACTAGAGCGTGAACAAAAATAGAACCTATTTCCGTCGGATTATCTTGGCAGTAGGTGAGTTAGCCTTCGTGTTTCTTTATGCTTCATATACCACTTTGTAGATCGTAAAATTCTCTATCGAATGGTATATAATAGTTGGGGTTTTGTTTGAGTATGATAGGAAAAGTTCTTTACGAAAGCGGGGATCGGTCGATTTTCGCATAGGAAGCCATAGGAAAAAATCAGTATTTTTGCAATAACTCAAGAATTGCTTGGTCAATCGTGTTCATCTTCGAATTCGACCGAGACATTGTTAAGAGTGAACTGTGTAGAAAATTTCATCGTGATTGGGCTCTTCTTTCAAAAGTTATCGTATAAACGGCCAGCCAGACACACTGATCTATTTTAAAGTGTACTCACTTTCTGAGTACACAAAAAGTACATCTTGTCATATTTTCATCAAATAACCAGCGGTTTCCGTGCATAAAGGAACTATTGCCTCAATATTTGAATTTAATAAATGTGAAAATCTCGGATTTAAATCCGAGTGTTATGTGTACTTCATAAAGTTAACAGTTATATTCACTTTGTTTTGTATCATCTGAGACATGTCTAGCCTATTTGATTTCTCCATGCAGTTTTTCTGCATTTTTAGACCTTTTTTAGGCGACGTTTTGTTAGAAAACTACGATTTGGTTCAAAACTAATATCAGATTCGGAATCACCATTCAAAACTGAGTTGATTTCTATATGTTGTGAATAATTCCGAGAAAAGAATTGTTTTTTTGAAAAAATCCCTGTACCCCCCCCCCTCCTCCCTTATGGATAGTCTGGTCAATTATGACAATTTTTTCGATAACTCAGTCATTTCATGACGGATCCTTCTCATCTTCGAACTCGACTGAGGCATTGTTAAGACTGAACTGTGTAGAAAAGTTCATCATGATCTGACTCTCCTTTCAAAAGTTATCGTGTAAACGGCAGGCCGGTCTGACGGACGTAATGACCGATTCTAGAGTGTACTCACTTTTTGATTACACAAAAAAGGTTCATCTATGATTCATTGTTCTTTCTAAACGGAATCATATGATGAAATATGAATATTATTTTCTTTTCTACAGCCTATTTTTGAGCGCGAAGACTCATCGACACTAGCTTATACTTCAGGAATATACGTTTCTGTATCTAATGCTAAAAAGAGTATAATGAAACATGGAATTCGGAAGGTTTTTTGTTTTTTGTTTCTAGTTTCAGGAATTTTTTAAGTCTTTCCTTCCATTAAAAACCTGAATAAGTTATGCAAGAAAAACAATTTACTTGTGGTAGACAATGTCCTCATAGTTACTATTGTTACTAAAAATCAAAAATGATTTCAATATTGAGAAAAAAACGAGATGCATATAGCATACGCATGGTTTTCAAGCAGTTCTATCTCTACCAGCTCATCATATATAACTGTTTTTGAATCTGAAGTTTTGATCTTTTGTTGCTAGTAAATACAAATGTTCATTCTCTAATTTGTTTTCTTACTCGATTCCGTCGTTGTTGTAGTCGTTGATGTACTAGTACTAGAAGTGCTCGAAGTGCTTGTGATTGAAGCTTAATTAATAGATACAGATGAATATTGAAACTTATTATTGGTGCATATTCTTACTTGTTGTTTCCGTGGTAGCCGAAGTTGTTGTTAATGCTTTAATAATGAGACTTCGTTTTTAATTGTTATGAGATGGTCAATTATACTTACATGTTGTTGTATATGTGCTGTGAGTCGTTGCATTTTGTTTAACTAAATGAAATGTTGCAATAGTTATATTGAAGGTTTCTCAAAGCGGTCTGTGAGAAACACTACTAAGTAACCCATGATTCGGATTGAATTAATGTTTTCACTACAGATCAGAATGCAAGTGAACATATGGGTGAGTTCATTGGAATTACATTACGCTTTTGAACGAAAGCATTTCAGTTTTGAACATCAACTTTGATGTAAACTTGTCGACATCGGTTTGCGGGGGGAGAATATTTTTTATATCTAAAGTTTTGGATTTAGCTCTTTCTTCAAAAAAACAACGAGTTTAATGCATAAGTATGCCGAATAATTTCAATTGACAGTCGTGAACAAAATAAGCGAATTATTTTGATATCAGTCAAACGACTTAACTGTTTTAGTTTGAAAATTTTACATGAGTGAAGCTCCTGAGTATTCAATCTGAGTACAAAACCGTGGTTAACCTCAGAAGACAATGTTGTTAAAAACTAGTTTTGACTGTTGATCTTACAGAACATGTAAATTCATGCCTAATTCACTATTTTTGTTGATATCAGCAGATAAAAAAATAATATCTTCATGCAATGTTTTCATATGCTAACTTTTTGTCGGTGTACACGTGAAGTACGTCAAGAACTATGCAACATAGGGATACACAACAGCCGAGTTGTACCTATAGAAGATGAGCTGAGTGATTAAATTTCAGATGAAAGATTATTTTTTGTTTCGTCACAAACCATTTCTAATGAGAATAAATCTGACTGGAGGGTCATAATCGTTTGTATTTAGTAGCTGCAGCTTTATTCCACTAGACACGAAGTTTATTTTTGCTCAACAAAGCTTTTAGCGTAATCTCTAGACGACTATAAAAGATGAAACAAGATTAAGCTACTTTTATTGTATACGAAAAATCTTCAGCAACATTTCTTTCATATTTAGTGGCATGGTTTCTGCCACTGTTTGTGCTAACATGAAAACAACAAAAATATTCTGTAACGGGGCATGAATCCAACTTTTTCGTTATGTAATTTATTACTCAATAATACTCGAGTTTTAAAAAAATGTTCCTAAGCTACAGTCATGTCTTCCGATACAACCTTCTTGAAAGGTCAAAAACCTTTCATTATTTACAAAAATTATATAGACTATTCTATTCACATGTGGATTAGTTCCATAGCAGAACTTTTGTTGGAGAATAAGGGTGCAAACTTATATCAGCTAGACATCATTTGATGGATACGTACCGGCGATAGCAATAACTGCGGCTATTGTCGCAAGAATAATAGCACCAAAAACAGAAGCCATCAGACAGAAACAACAGCATCGTGAAATTACCAATGTCTTACGTGTCCTGTGCATCACCACCTAAGGTTCACAAAACGAAAACTCAAGAAGCGATGAACTTACTTTTTCCGCTTTTTCGATCTCGCTTCACTAGTTCCTAGTGACGGAGCCATCTCAAGTCCTAGAGTCGGCTGAGATTGATACTTTTGAATAAATGAGCGCGACCAGTGAGTAGGCCACAACAGACTAGTTTCCGACTCAAACCTTGGTACCAGGGAAGTCCTGCTTTTGTTACTACCAATTGCACATTCAGCATTCTACAATAGAAATTGTTTCATTTTGACAGCAATGTCTTACTATACTCACTATTTGTTCCTGGGGCTGAACTTGATTAATTTTTCTCGGCGATGTCGAGAAATAGCTCCATTTAATTGAATCCACATTAACCGGCTAGTATAAGTATAATATAATGGGTGGGCAAT